AAATGATATACGAGACTTAAAAGTATAGAAATGACAGGAGGTATGGAAATATCGTAAATAAAACTAAAATAAAAGAAAAAAAATCATAGACGTTATTGTTTATAGAAGGTATACCAATTAGAAGTTGAGAAATCATGTTGCTAGATTTATGATGAACTAGCTTACAATACTATAAAATGAATTTTAGTTGTACATAATTTATCAATTAAACTTTTTCTGATATAGACCGTTGAGGTCAAATATTTCAATTCTTTGAATTAAATATATTTAAATACTAATTAAATATTTTTAGTATTTGCTTGAGCTTACCCTTTTAATTTTGTAATCAAAATATTTGTTTATAGTATTCATAAATCATATTATAACAATATTTTTGATAAATAAATCCTTCTTTTGCTTTCTACCTTCCTTTAGTTTGTCCTTAAATCAAATCTTAAAAAGTAATTTGTAATAATGAGTAAAAAAATTTGATTTGTAATTATTAGAATGTAAAATAATAGTAATAATAGTAAAAAAGTGTGAATAATTAATCAATTTTGAGAGAAGACTAAGAAAAAATTAATATTTTCCTTTAATATGTAATATAATTTTTCACCATTGACGGAATAAAGTCTTTGTGTCATAGAGCATCTCCTTTATTAAATTGTTAAAATACAACATTGAAATTGGCACAAAAAAATTAACAGTTAAATTTAGTTTAAAAAAATGAGATATTTTCACTATATGAGATACATTATTTAAATAAAATTAGTCTTATATATCTTTTTAAGGTCAATCAAAACAAATATCACATATAAATATAGTTAGAACAACATTGAAATTAAAAAGAAAAATTAATAATTACATTTAATTTAAAAAACAGAGATATTTTCACTATATGAGATAGATTATTTAAATAAAATTAGTCTTATATATCTTTTTAAGGTCAATCAAAATAAATATCACATGTAAATATAGTTAGAATTTGTGACCAAACTTTTTAATTTATATATACTAACTCCGCTTTTTAATATAAATCATTTAAAATAATATTTGTATTAAAATATTTGTAGTTTTATAATATTAATAAAGCATTGATAAACAATTTCGTTTTATACTATTAATAAAGCATCGTCATTCACTTTGAATCGAAGGAAGAACTTAATTGGATTACTCAAAAGAGCAAATGTAAAGGTTGGAGAACCATGTTACTCAAAGTTGCAGAAACGGAAATGATATACGAGATTTAAAAGTATATAAATGACAAGAGCTATGGAAATATTGTAAATAAAACTAAAATAAAAGAAAAAAATCATAGATGTCATTGTTTAGAGAGGGTATACCAATTAGAAGTTGAGAAATCACGTTGCTAGATTTATGATGAACTAGCTTACAATACTATAAAATGAATTTTACTTATACATAATTTTTCAATTAAACTTTTTCCGATATAGACCATTGAGGTCAGATATTTCAATTCTTTGATATAATTATATTTAAATACTAATTAAATATTTTTAGTATTTGCTTGAGCATACCCTTTTCATTTTGTAATCAAAATATTTGTTTATAGTTTTCATAAATCTGATTAAGTATACGGTGCATATACGTATAATATTTATATTATAACAACATTTTTGATAAATAAATCCTTCATTTGCTTTCTACATTACTTTACTTTGTCCTTAAATCAAATCTTCAAAAGTAATTTCTAATTATGAGTAAAAAATTTGATTTGTAATTATTAGAAAGTAAAATAATAATAATAATAATAATAGTAAAAAAGTGTCAATAATTAATAAATTTTAAGAGAAAACTAAGAAAAAATTAATATTTTCCTTTAATATGTAATGTCATTTTTTACCATTGACGGAATAAAGTCTTAGTGTCATAGAGTATCTCCTTTATTAAATTATTAAAATACAACATTGAAATTGGCAAAAAAAAATTAATAATTACATTTTATTTAAAAAACAGAGATATTTTTACTATATGAGATACATTATTTAAATAAAATTAGTCTTATATATCTTTTTAAGGTCAATCAAAATAAATAACACATAAAAATAGTTAGAATTTGTGACCAAACTGTTTAGTTTATATATACTAACTCCGCTTTTTAATATAAATCATTTAAAAAAATGTTTGTATTGAAATATTTGTAGTTTTATAATGTTAATAAAGCATTGATAAACAATTTCCTTTTGTAATCTATAACTATATATATATAAAGAGGATACAAATTTTTGGTGTGACTTATTTTTCTACCATTTTTACCCTTACTTTATTATGTAATTTACTTAATAACTTATTATTATTAACTTCTACGTAACTTCTTATTATTAACTTTCACATATTATACTTTTAAAAAAATTATTTAAACAAAAAGTACGGTTTATATTTTCATTAATGCGCATTAAAAAAACGAGTGCCCGTCTGGACGCTAATAATAATAATATAAATAATAATAATAATAATAATAATAGAAAAAAAAACAATATGTCTTAATGTCTAGCTTTTCTCCTCTCTCACCGGTTACTTACATAATAGTGTTATTATACGAGAAAAAAATCTCAATTTTAATCATTTAAATTTATTTTTCCAAAAATAACCTCTATAGTAGTAATATTTAATTTTATTTTTCAAAACATTTCAATTATCATTGTGGACGGTGCATTAAAATATGGAAAGTTTCTATGCTTTGAATGTTCTTATTACGAGTTTGCATTTAATGCACATTAGAATTACCATGAAAACTAGATAATGCACATTACAATTTTATAATTGAAATTACCACATAATACAGTATAATTTCTATTTTATTACTTCCTCTCCTTTCATTTTTTATAATTTTTATTTTATAATTAATGAAAAAACATATTATAAAATTTTACATAATTTTTCTTTTTTATATAAAAATAATTATATTTTTTATATAAAATATTTAAAAAGACTTATAATTTAAGAAGGAGAATAATAATTTAATAATAATCATTAATATTTCATTAAAGAAAATAAATCACAATTATTTGTTTACATTTATATGAACCGTGTGATGTACTGTACACAACAATATTTACAATATAAAATAAATATAAGTTAATATATAAATTATAAAAATAAAGAGGACACATTAATATATAAATTATAAAAAAGTATTTAGCCGTGTTATATAATTTTTTATCTAATATTTCAGTATATATAAATTTTTTATAAAATATTAATTATTTAAATTTAACATATCAACTCAAAGAGGAGCAAATGCAACTGTGTTATATTGATAATATTATCATAATTATATATATATATATATATATATATATATATATATATATATATATATATATATATATATATATATATATATATATATATATATATATATATATATATATATATATATATATATATATATATATATATATATATATAACACAAATAATTGTTTTGTAAAGGGTGTATCAAATGTTTTTCTAATATCAAAAGTAATTAGTCACACTCGGTACTCTCTAATATTTATATTTATGTATATTTAATTTTAACGTCACACACATATTTATATATATTTAATTTTTAATTTAGTAATATAATATTGTGCTACAACTATTTGTGAAGTTCAGTGAAATAGTATATCTTCTAATCATGAGTTTTGTTTCCTAATTTCATCATTATTATTGTTAGTCATCCATCTATTGCATTGTACTTTTTCTTTTGACCAAATTTATGAGCATTCACTACAAATAAAAACAAAGGCAAAATATAAAAAATTAAATGAGATTAACATTATAAAACACGACAAACATAAAAATTATTGGGCAATTGAAACTTAAAATATATAAATAAAAATTAATTAGATTCGATCAAATCACATTAATGAATTATGAGAAGAAAAAGAAAAACGGATTCACAATTTAATAATACATAAATAGAAGAAATCTCAAATAAAATTTATAATATTATAGTAGATATAGAAAAATATTAGAAAACACAAAGAAATTCAAAACAAAAGATTATACATATAACTTTTAAAAAATTTGAATGGAAAAACAAAAAATAAACATAAAAGAATTATGATTGCTAGATTAACAAACATCTATCAAATTTTAATCATGCACTGTTTGCAATTAAAATTAGATAAATGAATAGCATGACAAAATATGTCACTGTTATTCGATGAATAAATGCAATTGAAGTAGAAGGAAAATCGTGAATTAACTCTAACATTGAATAAAAGAAAAAAAATTCAACATCTCTTACAAAATTATTTTTATTCATGTTAAACCTATACATTAAAATTAAATACACTTGACTAAAAAAATATTTCTAAAAAACTACAGATTAAGAAGAATCAAAATAAAAATGTATAGGTTCAATGAGAATTTCATACAATTCTGTAAGAAAAAATTTATTAGCTAATATTTCTTCTTGATAAAAACCAATAAAAATTTACAACAAAGAAATATGCCATAGATTATAAAAAAATTACATGTTCTAATTTTATCAAAGCATACGTTCCCAATATAAACATGCATTTTATGGTAAAAATCCTTGAAAAAAAAAATGAAAAAAAAAACGGAGATCTTACCGACAAATTGTTCATATCTCAAAATCCTCATTGTCAGCTGATTGATGAAGTGGTGTGGATCTTTATCGTCATGATATGTATTGCATCTGATTTCTTTTCACATCTGGGTTTCCATTGTATTGCAACTGTTTGATTGAAGTCCATATATAATTTTCCCTCATTTCGTTTCCATTTTTTTGTCTGTTCATTCTTAGTAGTGTTACAGAGATCTTACCGATAAATTGTTCATATCTCAAAATCCTCATTGTCAGCTGATTGATGAAGTGGTGTGGATCTTTATGTCATGGTTTGTATTGCATCTGATTTCTTTTCAGATCTGGGTTTCCATTGTATTGCAACTATTTGATTGAAATCCTTCTATAATTTTCCCTCATTTCGTTTCCATTTTTTTGTCTGTTCATTCTTAGTACTGTTACACTGGTGCTTTCATCACACCATGACCGACCCACAAACCACAGAACTGCAAGCTGAGATCAAGCATAACACTACAGAGGAGATGCGGTTGTTTCAGACAAAAGTTCTCGAGCGTATGATACGATTAAAAGCTGGTAACGCGTCGAAGTTTAACGATATCCATGCAGCGCTTGACATCCCCATTCAACAGACGCCGTCAAAGCATCGCCATGGTTCAGATATAATTTAAGGAAATGGATCACCTCCTGCCGCCTTTGACTGCAGTCAACCCTCTTCTCTCCTTTTTTATATATCATTTCATCTCTCATGTTTCTAATCTAACGGTTTAAAATTTATAATGAATAATTAAATAAAAAATAAAGACAAATTACTTATCCATTTCTCTCTCCTATTAAATGACTTTTTTTATTTAATTATTCATTATAAATTCTGAACCGTTAGATTAGAAACATGAGAGATGGCAGAATATATAAAAAAGGAGAGGATCCAAATCCCTTTGTTTTAGTTTTTTTTTTTTAAGTTTTTTGCACCCTCTCAGTTTTGGCTATGTGAGTCTCAGTTATGACGTGACAATAGAAAGGTTGACCTCAGTTAGAAAAAAATTATCACGTCATCAAAAATCATTTTGTATCTGATTTTATTTTAATAAATAAATGAACATAATGTTATTTTAATAAATTAACAAAATAATTATAAATGTTTAGAAACGTCACCCTTTTCAAGCATATTTCGGCCTTGAAGAACCATAAACTCACAATACCTAAAAATACCCAAAATTCTCGACCCTAATTTCTTAATACCCAAAAATTATGCAACCGTTCTTCCATTCTTCCATAGTCGTTCATCATCAAGCTTCAGGAAGGGGTGGAATTTTGTCTTTTAGCCATGGAAATTCTTGCTTCCACCGAGAAATGCAATGAAGGGGAGAAATTTTGTCTCTGGTATGTATTAATCTGCCCCCATGATAGAAACTATGTTGTATGCTTATTTTAATGTACATGGTGGTCCCTTTATGTTTTAGGGTTTCTGGTGTTTTGTCTTTTAGGGTTTGTGGTCCTACAATTCGTCGTTTTTTATGTCTTGTTTGTGGTGTCATTCTGACTCTAATGTATCAACTAATACAGACCAACCAAGTGTCAAACAATTAGCTTTATGATTCATCATGGTGGTAGACTGGTTGACACCCCTGTGAGATTGTAAGTTGGTGGGTTTGTGTCAGAAATGAACTATAAATGGGATGTTGACTACATATCCTATATGGAACTGTTGGAATTGATTAGGAAACAGAAATATGTAGACATTAAGTGTATATAGTATTTGAACCCTAGGATGAGCTTTACTCGTGGCCTTAGAACACTTAACAGTGACAATGATGTGTTGCAAATGATAAGAGATGTTGATGGTTGTGACATTGTAGATTTGTATGTTGAGCATAACATTAGTGGACCTGGCATTATAGATGAGACAAAAATAGGGCATGACATAATTTCTGATGATGATGTTGTTGAAGTGAAAGATGAAGATGATGTGCACAAGGATGTTGATGTGAATGATGTAGTTGGTGTGGACAAGGATATGGATAAGGATGTTGAATAGGACGATGAAGATGGTATGAATAAGGATGTTGATAAGGCAGTTGAACAGAATGAAAAAGATGGTGTGGATACGGATGCTAAACTGGATGAAGAAAATGCTGAAGTGGACAATGAATTTGAAAGGGATGATGAAGTTAAGGATGTTGAGGATAGTGACCATAAGTTAGATTGGGCAACTGCATTACCTAAAGATACAACAAGACCATATATGAATGACTTTGACCATGGGGAGGATTCTGACCAACTTCAAACCCCACATGAGAGTGAAGATGATGAAGAGTATGAGAGATTCCCAACCTATAAGGTTGGTGAGGGAATTAAGTTTGAGTTAGACATGAGATTTAACACCAAGGATATGGTAAAGGATGTTACAAAGGAGTATGCCATGTTGGAGAAAAAATATTTACCTACATAAGAATGATGGAAAGAGGATGGTTGTTAAGTGTATTACTGATTGCAAATTTTATATGAGAATTAGAAGGAGAGTTGGTAACCAGTATTGGCAAGTAGTGTCTTTATATGATGAACTCACTTGTCATAGGACAACCCAAAGTAGACGGGCAAAGACTTAATGGTTGGGCAAGCAATTTAGCCATGTACCAAGGCATAGTCCTGACTTGAAGCTTGCTGGTCTAGTAGCTATGAGCTTTGAGAGACAGGGAGTTAAATTGTCAACTGATCATGCTTATAGAGCTAAGAGAAGAGCAATGTAGATTAATCAAGGAGCAGGAAGGGATCGGTTCGACCATCTAAGAGCATATGCTAATGAGCTTCTCAACACAAACCCTAATAGAAAAATTGTGTTGCAATGCTCAGACGCTGCTGATGGACCTGTATTAGAGAGAATTTACATATGTTTAAAGGCATGTAAGGTTGCTTTTGCATGCTATTTCAGGCCACTTATAGGTCTTTATGCATGTTTTCTGAAAGGCGAGTTTGGTGGGTAGTTGATGTTAGCTATAGGAAGGGATGGAAATAACCATATATTTGCAATAGAATATGCTCTTGTAGAGGCAGAAACAAAGGACTCTTAGGAGCGATTATTAAATCTATTACTTGATGACTTGCAAGGCCTAAATCAAAGGGTATATGCTTTCATTTCAGATCAGTGTTGAAGCGGAAAAGCAGCAAGCAAAAATATTAAGTACCCAATTTTTTCGTCTCCACATGGATCGATGCGATGAAAGAACGTCGTTCAATGGTCTCCGCATTTCTAAGCTTGTATTAATAAAGCATCGTCAACTCGACTCCCTTTAAATGGAAGGAAGAATTTAATTGGATTACTCAAAAGAGCAAAGGAAAAGGCCTGAGAACCAAGTTACTCAAAGTTGCAGAAACGAAAATGAAATGATATACGAGATTTAAAAGTAAAGAAATGACAAGAGCTATGGAAATATTGTAAATAAACTAAAATAAAATAAAAAAAATCATAGACGTCATTGTTTATAGAGGGTATACCAATTAGAAGTTGAGAAATCACGTTGCTAAATTTATGATGAACTAACTTACAATACTATAAAATGAATTTTAGTTGTACATAATTTTTCAATTAAACTTTTTCCGATATAGACCATTGGCGTCAGATATTTCAATTCTTTGATATAAATATATTTAAATACTAATTAAATATTTTTAGTATTTGCTTGAGCTTACCCTTTTAATTTTGTAATCAAAATATTTATTTATAGTATTCATAAATCTGATTAAGTATACGTTACGTATAATATTTATATTATAACAACATTTTGGATAAACAAATCCTTCATTTGCTTTCTACATTACTTTACTTTGTCCTTAAATCAAATCTTAAAAAGTAGTTTCTAATTATGAGTAACAAATTTGATTTGTAATTATAAAAAAGTAAAATAATAATAATTATAGTAAAAAAGTTTGAATACTTAATCAATTTTGAGAGAAGACTAAGAAAAAATTAATATTTTCCTTTAATATGTAATGTCATTTTTTACCATTGACGGAATAAAGTCTTAATGTCATAGAGTATCTCTCTTATTAAATTGTTAAAATACAACATTGAAATTGGCAAAAATAAAATTAATAATTACATTTTATTTAAAAAACCGAGATATTTTCACTATATGAGATACATTATTTAAATAAAATTATTCATATATATATATCTTTTTAAGGTCAATCAAAATAAATAACACATATAAAAATAGTTTGAATTTGTGACCAAACTTTTTAGTTTATATATACTAACTCCTCTTTTAATATAAATCATTTAAAAAAATGTTTGTATTAAAATATTTGTAGTTTTATAATATTAATAAAGCATTGATAAACAATTTTCTTTTATAATATTAATAAAGCATCGTCAACTCGAATCCCTTTAAATGGAAGGTAGAATTTAATTGGATTACTCAAAAGAGCAAAGGAAAAGGCCTGAGAACCAAGTTACTGAAAGTTGCAGAAACGAAAATGATATACGAGATTTAAAAGTAAAGAAATGACAAGAGCTATAGAAATATTGTAAATAAAACTAAAATAAAAGAAAAAAAAATCATAGATGTCATTGTTTATAGAGGGTAGACCAATTAGAAGTTGAGAAATCACGTTGCTAGATTTATGATGAACTAGCTTACAATACTATAAAATGAATTTTAGTTGTACATAATTTTTCAACTAAACTTTTTCCGATATAGACCATTGAGGTCAGATATTTCAATTCTTTGAAATAATTATATTTAAATTCTAATTAAATATTTTTAGTATTTGCTTGAGCTTACCCTTTTAATTTTATAAGTATAATATTTATATTAGAACAATATTTTGGATAAATAAATCCTTCCTTGCTTTCTACCTTACTTTAGTGTGTCCTTAAATCAAATCATAAAAAGTAATATGTAATTATGAGTAAAAAATTTGATTTGTAATTATTAGAATGTAAAATAATAATAGTAAAAAAGTGTCAATAATTAATAAATTTTGAGAGAAGACATGAGGAATTGATCACTTTATTACAGTAAAATGTTGTCTAGCCGATTATAAAGTCAGATTATTGGTATTTAACGAGTAATGTGGAGGGACATGAGTGACCTATAAGAGATTTCTCCTTCTACATATATATGAGTAATCTCTACGGGACCTTTGATCGTGTGTGACTGTAAATTACATGGTCATGCTAATATAAGTCAAGATGTGATATTATGTTTATTCATATTTATTAAGTACAATCAAGTATCAAAGAAGGAGTATAATATTGGACTATACAAGGGTCTGACAAACAGTATCTTATTTTTAATAATATATATATATATATATATATATATATATATATATATATATATATATATATATATATATATATATATATATATATATATATATATATATATATATATATATATATATATATATATATATATATATATATATATATATATATATATATATATATATATATATATATATATATGTGTGTGTGTGTGTGTCCCCCTAATATATTTACGTAGTTTACTATAATTTTAATTTCCTTTTTCTAAAGTTAATTTCTAATATGAGATAAAATAGTTGTGTGTTTATATTAATTAATTTTCATTCAATTTATTCTTCATACGTATACAAATTTATTTTCTCGACAACGACTATAGTTGATATGTTTTATGATAATTCA